TTCACCTCATTTGTGCTAGAAATGGCAGGTCCCCTTCTCCAGAACAGATTTTCCCAAGTGCTCGGATCTGATCTCCCCTTTTGCAGACCATCAGTAAGGGACAAGCCATGCTCATGATGTCCAAGGACACTCAGAAACCAACAAGCACAGCCAGGAGAATGGGACAGAGCTGCCAGGCCGGCCAGCACAGACTATATTGTGACCATGCAGGGACATGAGACCTGTATTACCATTAGCAGGTTCAAGGAACAAGAACCAGAGATTGTCACCTGCACGTTCAACACCTTCACAAGCTCACAGTCTCAGTAGCTGATGTCCTCCAAAGCCAGCGGAAAGCACTCAGGGCAGGGCCCCGGGATGGCCTCTGCTGGCACCTGCTGATGGGGAGCCAAGCACAGCCTGTGCAGAGCTGTGGGGTGAGCCCAGGGCGAAGGCACCAAAGGTGACTTGAAGTGAGGCCTGTGAATCACAGCGGGATTGGTGGCACCCCCGAGGTCAACCTTGTTACAGCTTCACTGCCATTTGATTCCTGATTGCAACTCCCACCATCAAAAGGAGCGTGGCAGCCACAGGGTGAGGGAAACACCAGCTGCAGTTAGGAGAGCGTGGGGGAGCCTGACTTTGCTACATGGGGTGTAAACCCACACGGCTTCAGTAACAGACCCAGGGAAATGGAGCTCTGAAAAGGGAGGGCTCAACGCACCGCAGACACTGCTGAGACAATTTATTGGTCAGAAACACCATCACCCCCAGCAGGACAGAAACCTGCTCCTTTCCAGTCCCCAAGGAGTGATCCAGAGCGGTAGCAGGAGCAATTAAATAGCACAAGCCCAGCACATGTTTCAATGCACCCGATTCAACCCCCACCTGCCTCTATCCAACAGCCCCATGGGACACCCTGGGACCCCAGGTCAGACTTACCAGATCTCAATTGCAACAAGGTGGCTACAAGCTCAGAAACCCCCTAGAACCACCCTGGCCCAAGGGTGGAGCACGTGTTCCCTGGGTACCACTGGGCTCCTCCATCCTGTCCTTTCCTAACAACATGTTTCCACTGCTCGGGCTGAGGGTGATACTGGTCCTTTCTTGGGCATATTAGCTTAAGTTGGCGCCCACGGAAGTCTCAATGCAAAGGGCTGTGACAACTGCTGCAAACAGCCTTGTTACAACTCCCTGTGTTTCAGATATGAGTCCCCTGAAGGTCCCCCCAAAAGCAGTTGCATTTCTGAGTGCAGATGTGGTGCAGGCTTAGGCAGATAAAGGGTTAATTCTGAGGAGTCAGCCCCAGGGATCCAGGTGAGGACGGAGGGAAAGTGAGAAGAGCTCCAGATACAGGGACAGCGGCCAGGATACGGGGCTGGAGAATCACGCTGGGCAATGCAGGCCCCGAAGCTGCAGGATCTAACTGAGGAGCCCTGCAGGGAGAGAGGGGAGACATCAGCACAGGGCAGGGACTAGCAGCACTGGGGAAGGGCCACGGGGGGGATCTGACAGGTGCCAGGGCCTCCCTAGAGGCTTGTCTGGAGCCTCCGGGTGGGGAGATGCTTTTGCAGGGCCCAGGATGCTCTGACCCTGGGAGTAGCTCTAGGTTTGGCCCAAATGGCACTAATGAGGGAGATGGAGACTCCTCCTCTTCCTCACTGCAAATGCTCCATGTTCCAGCTCCCAGCCAGGCTGGGCTGGGCAAGTGTTGGGGTGAAAGGGGAGGGGCAGCTGCTCCCTGGACTCCCCG